CCCCCGCCACTCAGCTGGGGGAAGATGCCAAAGGCCCCATTTTCGGTCAGCTGGTTGGCGGTTCCAAAATGGCTGACCCGCTGTGCTGCCTCGCTTTAGAGGCACCGAAAATGGCCGCCCCTATGGAGGAACATCGCTAAACGGTGAGTTTATCCCCCATAGGAACGAATTAAAGTTTAATGCATTCCTATGGGTTTTTCCGTTCCGTTTAGCGATGTTTCCTCATAGCGACGATTAATCCGGAACGGATTAACGTCGCTATGCGGGGCACCACTGTATCAGTTTTTACTCTGCGAGTGGTTTTTTTTTCATTATAACACTTGAAACTGCTGTGTGCAAACATCAGTTACATTTTATATATTATTTTTGTAGTCCAGAACAATTGTCATCTTTCCTGCATTGTATTTTCTGGCCACAGGGAAAAACACACTGTCTGAAATATTGTTGCTTAGCTAATATGCCTCACTAGTAAGCCCATGAAATCAGTAAGGTTTGGTGAATCAACTCCTCTGTAAGTTTCATTGATTGAAATGAACCTGCTCTAGTTATGACTTACTTTACTTTATTATAGTAAACTGCAGAGGAGCTGACTCCCCACTGATTCAGTTGTCCTACTTTAGTTCAATTTACTACACTGAGCAAGAGAAGATCAACCATTATATTTTATTGTTCTGTTCCATGGTTTTCCTGTTTTGTGAATCATGTGTAGAATGCAGGATTCTGAGTACTATAGAATTGTATGTAAATAAGAAAGCAAGTAGTAGTAGTAGCAGATTCCTAATAATATCTGGCTGATACATTAAGCAAGTCATACCCTGGGGATGGCTAGTCAAAATGCTCCCATGTTTTTTTAATGGCTTGAGATCTGAAAATAGTAAGTTCCAAGTTTCTCTCAACTTAATGTATTTGCAAAGGCTTTCATGGCCGGGATCTAATGGTTGTTGTGGGTTTTCCGGGCTCTTTGGCCATGTTCTGAAGGTTGTTCTTCCTGACGTTTCGCCAGTCTCTGTGGCCGGCATCTTCAGAGGACTGGAGTAGGAACTCTGTCCATGCTCTGTACAGGAAGAACAACCTTCAGAACACAACCAAAGAGCCTGAAAAACCCACAACAACCATTCTCTCAACTTCTTGATTAGAAGTCCCAGGGTTCTAATCACTATAGTTACAGACTTTCCATTATTACTGTGTCCGGAAAAAAAAGAAAGAAGGGGGAATGGAGAAAAAAATAGAGATGTCAATAGGTTTTAGTTTTACATCAGCAGAACATACGTTAGTGCTGCTGTCAGCATCTTTTCTTCTTCACATAACCTCAGAAATCTCATTTATCTTAAAAAAAATCATTTGTTGCATCATGGGATGCATTTTATTATGACTTTACTTTAAAAAAAACCCTCTAGATTATTTCCCTTAACTTCAAAAGTGACTTTTGGATATTTCAGAATTCAGGAAGACTATAGGTAATAATAATTTATCTTCTACAAATTACAGCATAAAAATCAGCACTACTTGACTCCAATAATGTGAGTTGAAAGATTATCTACTGAATTTTTCTACTCAGATGAGAACATTTTAATGCTGTTTTTAATCAACATAATATTTTCCAGGTTTAGAAATGCATAGTTCCATGAAGTTAATTAGACTGGGTATAGCCAAAGAGGGATTGAAGCATTTAAGTCATCAGTGCAGCTCAGTCATACATATCTTGGACTAACAAACTGAGATTAGCACAAGTCCTGCATCTACACATCTGTTGTTGCATTGCTTCTTCCTGTCTTGCTTCTTGAGAAGTTGTGATTCAGTAATCCTGATAACAGTAGTTTCCTGGCAAATGAAAATTGATTAAGCCATAAAGTATTCAACTCAGTCATATTAAGAAGAAGGGTAGTGTGAGGTTACAGTGCACAAATATAAGGCTTGTCTGTATTCCTACTACGTAGACTGAGAAATATAGGTCTGAATCAGGCCCCTGCATGATTCCTGATGCTAAGTGGCTCATGATCCAAGTTGTGGTGAACTAATTGTAGAGTGAAGGAATTCTCTCCTAGTGTAGATCATAGGCTATCTAAGCTCACAATAGTGTATTCACTAACTGCTTGTCTGAGTGGAAGATTGGTAGGAAGAACTACAATGATTATGGTAGTAGATGAGGCAATGAATTTGTTTTTCGTTAAAGAGGAGGAAAGAGAAATTCTACAAGCAGTAATGTGGCAATTCATTGCTTCGGTTCTCTCACTTTTTCTTGCAACATTGCAACCAGTTTGCACTTGTTGCCTATGTACACCATGTTGTTCTCAGGCTCAAGCATAAACATTGCAAACAGTTAGCAGATCACCACCAAATAAATTTCTTTTTTCCTCTATAATTCCTTTTTTACTTTCTTCTATTTGTCTGTCAGTGCATTTAGCTTTGCTTTGTCTGCCTTGAACCATGCTGGGAAAATGCAGTAATACAGTGGTGCCCTGCTTGACTGATTTTGCTTTTAAGCAAAATTGCTGTTAAGCGAAATTGTTGTCAAGCGAAAAAACAATCCCCATTGAAATGCATTGAAAACTGGTCAGTGCATTCCAATGGGGGAAATACCTCATCGTCCAGTGAAGATTGCCCATAGAGAACCACCACTCAGCTGTTAAAAATCGCTGTAATGCGAAGCTTCTGTCTGGAAAGCAGCCATTTTGAGAAGGGAGGGAAGCCATTTTGCGGAGCTGGAAAAAACAGGCTCCTAATCAACGTAAAGCGGATTTCTGCCATTGGACCCATCCTTTTGCGATCGCAAAAATGTCATCGTCAAGTGATTTTGACATCATGCGGGGTAAGTGTCTAGCGGGGCATCACTGTATACAGAAACCAAAGATTTTGTTAGGGGCTTACCTCTTCTTGTCCCCAGCTGAACTCTCATGTCATACTCCTGGTTGCTCACTGCCTGAGGTCTATCTCAGTTTTATTCTTCTGCTGTGCTCTGTTAGGAGTCAGCAAAGAGAATGCCCCTCCCAGCACTCACAGCTGCTACTTGTTACTTTCAGCAGTTATCAAGACATGCCCCTTCCTCTCAAGCTGAGCACAAGGTTCTTCCAGATAGGCTATTTCTTGGGGTTACTTCAGGTCACTTTCTGGTGTTAATATGAGTCACTCACTGATCTGCCTTTGTCCTCTTGATCTCTTCCTTCCTTTAATCTCTTCATTGGCTAGACCTTTTCCGTACTATCCTTCCCCTGTCAAACTCCTGTAAACTAGCCACCTAGAGTGGTCCGGTGGGCCAGATAGGCGGGGTATAAATCAAATAAACAAACAAACAAACAAACAAACAAACTACATCTTAGTACTCTATACCTAGAAAACCCTGGAAAATGCTACCATAATTTGGAATCAATTTCTTGACATGGGGTAACGGTGATGATGATCTATTTAAATGGTAGGATATATATTTGAGTCCAGTTCAAAAAGCCATACCAAGACAAATACATGTAGAAGTAGTTCTTTGAAAAGTAGTTCTTTGAAAAGGACTTCCTCATGTCCTTATTAATATTTCAAACTTCTTTCCAGAAATCTATGATTTAGAGCAACAACAATAAATTTCACAGCAAGCAGAACTTCTAATGATGTGCACTCTCTTCTTCTTCTTTTCTTCCCCAATTGCGCCTTCCCTCCTTTGGGAAATAAACAGGAACTTAATATTTCTCAAAGGCCATAGACTTATAGATGTATGAAACTATAGAGCTGGAAAGGATTGCACAGGTAGATTGCAGCTGCTTGCCAAAGTGGGAAATGTAGTAAAAAAGAATAATGGCAGAGGTTTGAAAAGTTTATTTTTTGGGGAGTATAGCTTCCATAATCCCCTGCCAACTTTCACTGTTGTGGATTGTTTTCTGTGAACTGTTTGCATGGAATCAGTGCAGGCAGCTTTGAAAACAAGTTTCTGCAAACATATTTCTGTTTACGAAAGGACAGTCTGTTCTCGCAAGTGCAACATTTGCCCATGTAGTTGATTTACATCTGTATTAAAGTCTTTTAAACTGTGGGTGGCTTCATTCATTGACTAATCCCATGTAAAGGCTTGTTTCAACAACTGATCAAAGTAGTTCCTGCATATTTTGCTTTATACTGTATGCTGAATTCTACAAGGAGTTGAGACTTACTTTTTTGTTTTTCCATATGAAAAGCTTGGAATCTGGGCCAGATGATGGTCCACATGAGCATTGGGTAACACTTCTAAAGTCTGGGAAAAGCTCAGCTGAATGGATCATATGGCAACTCCAGTTTAAAGAAAACAATAAAAATATGATACAATGTTCTTTCATCAGTTTGCTAGCTCACACAATTGTAAACTGAAAATAAGATGATAATTTTTATTCTTCCCAAATATCATTTGTGTTATTACTGATCGAAGTCATTGTTTTACCTGCTTTGTTCTCTTTCAGTATGAAAGAGGCTGGACTAGGTCATAAACAATGGAGAATCGGCCCTCTTTCATCAAAATGCAAGCAGTGTCCAGTAGTTTATACCAATTCTGTTTGTGGATCAGATGGCCACACATACTCTTCACAGGTAAGTACATTGAATGGGTTTGTCATCCATTGCGGTTTAATATATAGTATTCTGTCATGCAATGCTCTGCTATTTACTCCATTATATTATATTA